TGAAAGTTTTTTACGGGTAAATTAATATCTCGGGAACCACGGAGTCTAAGAGGCTGAAATTTTAGGATAATAACCTGCCCTGGTGCGCGCCGTCATTTACCTGTATTTTCATGAGAATTCAGTGGTGTTTCGGAGTACAAGCCTCCCTTTCGTCCAATTAGGTGCTACATTCCGATTCTTTCGGCGGGCCGGATTAAAACCAGTCGCAGGCCGGTGGTTGCCCACCTGTGTTTTAAACAAAGCCGAGTTTTTATAGTTGGTTCTCCCAGGCCCTCCTTCGTCCCGAGCTGCGTGGTTAAACCCCGCGCCGTCACCGCTTTTCTCTCATACACCACCCCTTGAACACACCCCAACCGCCCCAGGAAATCTTTCTTTTCACCGACACTACTTTTCGCAATTCGCACATCAAACGGGATCGAGCCAAGCCGAATTTTAGGCAAATATGATGATAACTCGGCTCGGCCCGACTCATACACGATTTGCAAAAAATTTCTCCTTGCAACGTCTGGTGGGGCTACTCCAACGGCGGACGGGGAAGTTCGAATGTGGGACACCACCATCCCCCACATACACCCTTATCACTAACATTTCGTAATTCGTACATCAAACGGGATCGAGCCAATCCGAATTTTAGGCAATTATGACGATAACTCGGCTCGGTCCGACTCATACACGACCTGCAAAAAATCTCACGACCCGTCTCATACATACACGACCTCATACACGACCTCCTTCCGACGGCTGGTGAGGCTGTCCCACGGCGAAAGGGGAGGGGCAAGGGGAGTTCGAATGTGGGAGGTAGAATGTGGTGGGTTTCTTTCAAGGCAGGGGACGGGGACTGGGATAATTGGATTTAAAGACTAAATGGCGTAGATCCTTTGTCGATTGGTTAGGTAATGTACATTTAGAAGGGAGAGGGGAGAGCAGGAAAGGAGGAGGAAGTGTGCTCCTGGTTTTTACCGCGGATACCCGAGTTAGGGAAAGGGCTGAAGTATTGCTTGCTTCCAGAGTGCTCTTATTAGTGGGGATGAAGAAAAGCTCAGATGTGCTTTGCAGGCAGGATTTCAGGATAGAGCAAGGAAAAGGGACCGATTTTTCGATTTCGCTTTTTTTCGTTTTTTCTTTCATACGTCCAGGTTTCCATTAATTTAGTTTTCTTTGTACTGCTGTGCTGTCCCTTCCTGTTTACTGTTTTGCCTCCAGTTCTTGCCTCGAATTCCTGACTGGTATCCTTGTTCTCCTTTCCTACCCTGTCCCCAAATCGTGCCCCTACAGCGTCATCTGGGTACCCATCAGCCACCACCCCCAACCACTGTCACTATTTCCAACTCCTCACTGGTGCCCTTGTTCCTCTTCTCTATCTTGCCCCTAATCCTACCCCCAGAGCTGTGTCAGGGTACCTACCCACCGCCAGTCCCTAACCACGCCAACCCCCTCCCCTCCCCCACCGAGCGCCCCTCTCCCCCCACGCCCGGCCACGTGATTTGCTGTTGAGCATTGAATAACGCTGCTCAGCGCTCCTGGCAAAGTGTCAAGCGGCGCCGCGAAATAGCATTGGCAGAGAAGCTAGAGAGTAACGGCCGAGCCGAGATGTAGTGGTTGGTTTTGTGGTGGGATTTGGGTGGGTGGGGGCGGGTGGGACGGGAGGTTGGTTTTCGGTCGTACAGTGAAGAGGGCGAATTTATATTGATAACCGATGACGTGATTGCAGAGGTATTGTGTGGGAAGTTGTTGGCGTTGTGGTAGGAGGTTCATGGAAGAGTTCATCCCAAATTTGCGTGACGAAACTGTGCAGACGGCTGTGAAGAATTTGCTGGTGTACTCGCTGACGATCATTGCACTCCCGCTGGGGTCCATGTTCCTGCTCAAGAAGTTCTTCTTCGAAGGTTAGTACAGAGTAAAACGGGCATTTATGCGCCGGGTTGACAGTGCGATTTTTTGACTTTGCGCGATTTGCGCGATTTTTTTCGACTTTTCGCCAGCTGAGAGTTGCGCGCAGAATGCTATTGTGGCCACGCAAAAAAACTGAACTGCTCTGTGGGCAGAGGATATGTTGCCCACAAACGGCAACTATCGCGCATTAGTGAGTGGCAAGTTGTTTGGCTGTTGTGCTACAGTCCATTAAGCTTGCAATCTCATTTCCACTGATGCACGATGCTGGAGCTGCTTGCTCCTCTTCCTTCTGCTCTATCACTTTTATTACTTTCACGCTACTGCACTTCCTCTCCTTCTCTCTCTCGCACTCTTTTTATGCGTTTTGTGCTGTGTAA